CACAGGCAGGAGACGGGTCCGGGGTGTGGGAGGGTTTTCTGCAGGTGCGTTGCCCTTCGCCTCTGGGACAAGCTGCAGCGGGGAGGGCTTGGGGGGGTTGCAGCGCGCTGCCAGCCCCCCGAGAAGAGGCCTGAGCGGTGGAGCACCACCTCCCCGAGGTGCTGCCAGCACACACACGTGTGGGGAAGAGCAGCAGCAGCCCAGGACTGCTCTCCCCCTCTGCTGCCCCACGGGGCTGGGAACTGGAGCCAGCTGGGACGGAGGCAGTAAGGGAACTGTCACGAAACCACAGCTGAAGCTGCCAGTGGGGACAGGAGATGCGGTGCCTGCAGCCCCAGCTGGGCACCCCAGGCGTGTCTGGGCAGGGAGCCTGCGACAGAGAGGGGCTGCCGGGAGAGAGGGCACCCTCGACTGGGATTCCTGCCTTGCGCAGCCTTGGTCGGAGGCAGCCTGGCCTTGGGAAGTCTCGCTGTGGGCGCCCAGGGGGCAGGGATGGGCAGTGACGAGGGCATTGCTGCAGGTGCTGTTGGAGCAGGGCCAGAGGAGGGCTCCAAAAATGCTCCGAGGGCTGGAGCCCCTCTGCTCTGAGGCCAGGCTGGGAGAGTTGGGGGTGTTCAGCCTGGAGAAGAGAAGGCTGCGGGCAGAGCTGAGTGCGGCCGGTCAGGGCTTCAAGGGGGCCCAGAGGAAAGGGGGGGACAAGCTTTATAGTAGGGCCAGCTGGGCCAGGACAAGGGGGGATGGCTTTAAACTGAAGCAGGGTAGGTTTAGACTGGATCTAAGGAAGAAATTCCAGTGAGAGTGGTGAAACCCTGGTAGGGGTTGCCCCGAGAGGGTGTGGAGGCCCCATCCCTGGGACCATTCCAGGCCAGGTTGGCCGGGGCTGTGGGCAACCTGATGTGGTTCAAGGTGTCCCTGCTCCTGCAGGGGGGTTGGGCTGGGTGACCTCTAGGGGTCCCTTCCCACCCAAAACATTTTGTGATTCTGTGATGATTCTATGTCCGAGCTCAGCTCTTCCAAAACGAGCCTCCGTCCTGCCTGCAGAGGGTAGAGCACAGTCAGGAGGGAGCCTGGGGCTGCAGTGGCTGGGGCTGTCTGGATGCAAGGGTCACAGCAGAGAGTGGGAGCAGGGGATGGAGGATGCGAGGGAAAAAGGTCTTGGCAGGATCCAGTTCCGGGTCAGTGCGACCTGTTCTGGCGAAGAGGGAAGGCTGAGGCAGGGAGGACGGGCGGTGGCAGCGGGAGGGGAGTTGTGGGGGTGCCTGCTCTGGACCCCAGATGAAGTGTAGAACAAAGTTGTTAAATCTTTGGTAATTAAAGGTTGCAGAATTAATGTTACAACTGAGTGGCCTTGGTTCAGGACTGGGCTGAGGAGGCGCAGGGCAGGGGAGTGGTATGGCAGAGGGGGCGGTGATCGTTGCTGTCCCAGACTTCGAGCCAGGTGAGGTCCCAGCCTTGGTACAGTCACGCTGAGCAGCCCCTGGAGAGTTCGAGGGGGGCTTCTTTATAATGCGAGTCCCAGTGCTCCTTCGACAACCCCTGAGAGGGTTCATTTACAGCCCCGGCATGTCCCTGGCATGCCTTCAAGGAATTGGAGTCCTCTGGGGAAGGTAGTTTTTCCAAAACGTGTGAGCTCTTAGCAGCCATCTGGGATAGGGATCAAGCGTTGGTTTCCTGGTGTTGTCTCTGGCAGCCGCATTGCTCACGACATGGTTGTGCGAGATCGTGGTGGTGTGTCCTATTCCCAACATCCCAGCTGCCTTGCCAGCCACACCGCCCACTGGTTTCTGCCCTCTGTCCTCAGAACCATCGGTGGCTGGATGGTTAGGGGAGCTGAGTAAGGTTCACTTAACGAATCCATTTTCCTACCAGCGTGGGACTGCAATGTAAGGCTTTCCTAGGACGGGGGATGTACTACAGTGATGGGTCTCAGTGTGTGAAGGGAGGGAGGGGGGGAGGTCAGGAGTGTGCCCCGGCACCTGTGGATGGATAGGATGGAGGTGCTGGCTTTTTAACCTCCTCTCCCCTTGGTTTCCAGATGCCATCAGCGCCACAAACCCCCGGGTCATTGACGATTCTCGGGCGCGGAAGCTTTCCAACGATTTGAAGCGCTGCACGTACTATGAGACCTGTGCCACCTACGGACTGAATGTGGAGAGAGTCTTCCAGGATGGTAACGGCAGCTGGCGGAGGGTGTGGGGGCGAGAGGGGGCCGCGGTGCTGTCCTGGAGAGGGGCTGACACTGCCTACACCGCCAGCCCGTGGTTGGAACAGCAAGCTGCCATGATGCCAAGGGAGTGTGGTGCCATTGCTTCACACGCGCGGGCCGGGCCCGGGGGCAGGACGCGCTGTGCGTGTGGAGGGATCCTCTGCCTGTTGTCCGTAGGTGAACTGCGTGTGGACGCGCCCGAGGGACGGCGGAGCGGGGCCGGGCTCACCCTTCTCCTGCCTCTTCTCGCGGGGGTTGTGCGCTGGAGCCGCTCGCTCCAGAGGGCAGGGAGGCTGCGGGGGGGGGGTCGCACCCCCGTGGCGGTACTGCACAGCGCAGCGGCGTGTGAGCCTGTGCGGGACGCGTGAGGCTGCGGAGGGGGTTTAGGTTGCCTTTGGTGGAGGAAGCACAGTGGAACCTTTGGGTGTTGGAGACAGGGGAACAGCATGGGAACGGCCAGATGGGGCAGCTCTTTGCATGGGGACAGCACGTGGAAGAGTATTTCTGCTTTGACGTGGAGAGGGGTCTGTGTGACGGGGATGCTGTGGGTGGAAGAGGGATCCTACGCCACCTCCTAGGAGCTTGCAGTCTGCTCAGATAAACGGGGCCCCAGCCCTGGTATGGGATTGTGTATTGCCCTGCCCCCTTTCTCTGCCTCGTCGTCTGTGGTGCGGCTGGGATCTGCGCTCGGTGCGCGGGGAGGGGTCTGTGCAGAGCCGGGCAGCTGGGCAGGACAGGAGAGCTGTGCTGTTAGTGTTTGCGAGGGGAAGAGGTGCGTGGAAGAAAGTTGGGAAGTAATAGTGCAGCAGGACTGCCTGGAGGCAAAAATGCAGTTTGGCTCATTGCAGCACTGGGCAAGGCCCAGGACTGAGCCTGTCATCAGCCTCAGGTGCCTCCTTCGTCCTCGGAGCCGGGGCTGGTGATCCTCTATCCCCTGCGTAAGTCTGCAGCCTTCCAGCAACCTCCTGTTGCGGGGCTGAGGATCATGGCCACCATGCTGCTTTGCTTACTTGGAAGCATGTAGAGACGTTCCCCTTCCCTGCTACTGGGCCACCTCCCAGACGGCCTGAGAAGCCAGCCCAGAGGGCGACCTCTCAAACCGTCCCCCCTGGCCCCTGGCAGGGGACCCCTCGGCATCCAGCAGCCTCTGCACTGGTTTGGTATTCCTGGGGAAACTGGGGCAACCCTGCCAGGCAGGCTGCTTGCGAGCCTCCCCTCCTTCCTCCTCCTCATGAGTAAGGGGGAAAAGGTGGGAAGGAAGCTGGGAATAGTGGAGGGCGGCGAACACTGGAGGGGGAGGATCTGCTAGAGCAGCTCCGCGGTTTGCAGAGCAAGAGGAGGGGGGCTGTGTGCCCGGCTGGTTCTGGCTGCTGGGAAGTGTCTGGCACCGTGTGCCACCAGATTGGGTCAGCTTGTTCCCTCAGACTGGTTCTGCTGAGTCCCTTCCCCGACGGACAGTACGGTGAGGAATAGCTGCTGGGTTTGGGAGGGGGCTGAGGCAGGCGCTGCAGGATGAGCTGCTGTGGTTCATTAGGCTGCTTCTCAAGATGGAATTAATTGTGCTCTGGTGCTATTGTTTGTTGACCAGGGAGCGTGGGCAGCGCATCTCTAAGCAGTGATGTGTGTGGGACGCAAGCTCTCACGTGAGGCCGGGAGGCACTTCTAGCGCCAGAGCTGCTCAGCAAGCTCGGCGGTGGACCCTGCGCTGCTGCTTGCAGGCACGGGAGCGAGCGCCTGCGAAGTGCCGTGCTCCGTCTTGTCTGGGCTTATTGACGCCTGTACATGGGGTCGGGAGGGAGGCAAGGGAGCGGGTTTGCCCACGTGAGCAGTGAAGCTGCGGAAATCCAGAAAAGCCCATGGAGCGTGGTAGCTGGCGGCTGTTCATACAAACCCGAGGTCAGCCTGGGCCACGGCTCCTGCTGGGCTGCCCTGCGGGGAGGGCTGGTCCAGTCCCTGGGCGAGTAAGCAGGGGAGCACCGAGTGGCAGTCCAGATTCTCGCCTCCATCCAGGGCAGCAGAAGGACCGCTGCCAGAGTGTTGTCAAGCGTGGCTGTCAGCCCTTCAAAAGGACACAGAGGAACTGAAAAGATTAAAAAAAAAAAAGCTACAAAAACTAACCAAAAGCTGGAAAAAATACCTAAAATACCTGACAGTGAGGCACTGGAAGAAATTATCCACTGAATGAATGGAAAAGACAACCGAGAGGTGACTTGATTACAGTGTAAGGGTACCTACATACCTGCCTACATGGGGAGGAAATCACAGGTACCAAGACCCTGCAGGCAGAGTTACGCTGGAAGCCAATGCCAGTCAAATTCAAATTTTAGAGAATCCTTGCTTTTTTTAATAACAGCCCTCTTTTCATTAACTGCTGGAAAAAATGCATAGGCAGTGCTGTATTCTGCATCTCTTGTGCTTTCTCCAAGCCCAGACCAAGTGCCCTGGCGGAGGGGACTGGTGCAGCGTAGGCTGGGTGAGGTGTAACGGCTGGCAGCATGCAAAGGTCACCCTGGAACATGGAGAGATCCTGCTGGCCTCTGAGTCTGTGCAAGCAGGAGCTGCCCGCGTCGCTGCGGCCCCCTATGCCATGCCATGTTCCCTGCGGAAGGCTGCCTCTGCCTGCCGTGCGGCGTCGCACGCTGGTGTCGGTGTCCTTGCTGAGAGTGCTGCTGGGAGCTCTGGAGGAAGCGGTGTGATAACTGGGAGGTGCAAATGGAGCAGAGGGACCCGCAGCCTCATAGGAGATCTGGAGTAAATCTCAGGTGCTCAGCACTCTCTCCTGCCCGCTCAGCTGCAGGACCACATGGATGTTCCTGAGCCCATCCGCGGGGAGGGAGGGAACAGGGCAGGAGGCGCTGGCTGAGCAGACCTGAGCCCAACATGGCCCCAGGCATCCCTGGCGTCTGAGAACTCTGCAGGGAGTTCCAGGATCGAGTTTCAGATGACGCTGATGTGACGGGATGAGGTGTTTTCGGAGTGGGCGAGCAGCTTTTCCTAATGAGCGCCGGTGGGTCTTGGCGCGTCTGGGTTGGGATCTGGCAGAGTGCTGGCAGTCGTGGACAGCGTGAGGAGCTTGCCCCACGTGGCGATCCTCTTACTGGCCAGTTGTCGTCTTTACATGGTTTCGCCAACACAAGTTGCTCAGCCCGGATCATGGCAGACCTGCCCCATGCAGGCGGGGAGGATGTCGATGTTCCACGGCAGAAGCAGGAAGGCTTCTCTAAGCGGTGGGCTTTGCTTTCCCCGCAAAGGTTTACCTGCTTGTCTGTGGGGTGCAGGGCGTATGCCACACCTCTGTTCCCAGGGAGCCCTCTGTGCCGCTGCCTTGTCTAACAACAAGCAATCGCTGGCCTTTTTGGACAGCATGACAGTGACATTATGTGACAGCGTAGGGAGCGACCATCCTACCTCTGGGTATTCAGTCGGAGGCTGAGACTGGCACGCTTCCTTCCCAGTCTGCTGCCTCTGCAAACGCCCCACAGTCTGCACGTGATGCTGCCGAGCCCGGGGGCAGCTCCAAGGAGAGCCTGGGACATCCATGTTAACCTGCTGTTCAGAGGTTCTCCAGGAACTGGGTGGCTCCAGCTGTCGTGGTGCCCTCCTTGCTGCTCGGGCAGGGGCAGCAGGGACCTTTCCTCCACGACGGGAGCAGTTCCCGGGTGTTTGGGCTGAAGTGCAGTTTGTGGTTGTGTTGTGCGGGGATCCATGTTACCGAGCGTGCCGCTGTGCTTGTGCTGAACCTTCTGGAGTGCGAAGGCTTTGTCCAGGCAGTCAGGCTTCTGAAGGATGCATGGCACGCAGAAAAGGGGTGGCTTTCTCCTTGCTGTGCTGTCTGGCAGAAGTCCCCCTGGAAATGCTGTGTGGGAGCTGTGCTCCTCTCATCCTTCCCAAGTGGATTCCAGCACCAGATGTCACAGTTACTGCTTCTGTGAAGAGACGGGATGCTTTGCCTGTGGCTTCAGATCTTGGGAGGCGCCCGTAGCGCAGGTGGGAAGAGTGACACAGGCTGGGCTGTGTGCTGCGGCGTGCACTGCCTGCCAGGCACCAGCTGCAGTGTCGGAACCTCGCGGGGGTGAGCCTGCCCCCAGGGGTGTGTCTGGTCCCCTCGCTCACAGCAGAGCTCCCGGTGAGGTGGGAGGCTGGTCTGAGCTCGCCCTCTGGAGAGGCACCGTTGAAGAGCTTTCTTCTCAAAATTGCCTTCATGGAGCTCCTGTGTGCGGAAATTGAGAGTTTAGAGGATGCCAGGACAATAGCAAGAAGCCATCGGTGTGGAGGTGCCTCAGCTCTTGGGCTTCATTTTAAGATCATTTCTGTACCAAGCAAAGGTGAGAGAGCAAATTGTCAAGAGCGCCTTGGCAGCGATGGCCTTGGCGTTGTTCCTGAAGAGTGACCCAGGCCCGATCCTGGAACGGCACAGAAGGGACAGCAGCCAGGCTGCCCGGTGCTGTGGTGGCTTCTCTAGTGTCACCCCTGCGGAAAGCCCAGGGTGAGCGTTCCTGTCCTCTCGCTGGCCCTGAGCATCAGCGAGGACAGGCAGCGGTGCGAGGCAGCCTCCTCTCTGGCCCGTCAGAACCTGCTGCTGGCAAGCCGGTGGCATTGCTGCTCCCCACCGTTCCTCTTCAGCTGCAGCGCTGCAGACTTGGACTTCAGCTTGAAAGCCCAAGGGTGGTTCTGGCTCTCCTGCCCTAAGGAGTCATTTGGGTTTCTGCGCTTTGAGCGGGACAGATGTGCATTGCCGTGTCTTCCAGGACAGCCAGTGATGCTTCTGTGGAATGGTTGGGCAGGAGCATTTCAACGGAGAGGCCAAGAGTTTGTGCACAGGGGAGCGTGCAAGGCCCCGCAAGTGTAAAGGTGCCAGAAACACTCCAGGGTGTTTTTTGTAAGGTCCTTAGCCCATCACCGGGGACCTTCACACACACCTCCTCTCTGTCCAGGTTCTCTTCCCAGACTGACCGTTCCTGGCCATGTCCGCAGAGGAATTTCTCCAGAACGTGCCATGGTGTGCTTTAAAGCACCATGTGGTGCTCAGGCACTGGTGTGCACAGGAGCACCGTACGTGACACTGGGCAAACAAGTGCCAAGCAGTGTGTCTGGACAGAGGTTCTGGGGCCAGGGAAGGGTCCGTTGGTTGCACATCACAGAGCTGCCTGTAGCCACCAAAGAAACCGCGATAAGCAAATGATCCCAGGCGCTGGCTTAGAGGGTGACAGAAATGGTCCTTGACGAAGTCTGGCTGATGTGGAGGAGTCTGGAAGAAGTGGGGGCACCTCTGCCTGGCAAGCAGAAATGCGAAGGCCACCTCAAGATGCCTCAGTTAAGGGTGGGTGAGATTTTATCACCACCAGTGTGGTCTCGCTGGCCTCACGATTAATTCCTGTGTTGCCACTACTGTGTGGTGACAAGGCAGAGCCTTTGCCACCTTCCCTGGTCTCTCTCTTTTTCCCACTGGTGGTCGTCTTAACCTCCCTGTCTCAAGAGACCATTCTCGCCTTGCTGCCTCCTGCAAAATTGGACCTACCTGTGTTCTGGGTACGGAGAAACCTCCTGCCTTGAATCCGCCTTCTCCAGTGAAGCCCTGGCAAGCTGTCCTGAACAGCATAGAGTCCCGTGCCCTGGAAGGTGAACAGGCTTTCCCCGTGGTCATGCAGCACTTCCCTTCCCTGCCACGGCCCACCTGGTTGGGACTGCACTCCGCGTAAGGCTCCTGGGACTGCCTGGCTTCTGCTGTGGGTGCTCAGGTGTCGCGTGTGAAGTGGCTGGCTGCCTGTCGTGGCGTCCCTGAAAACGCTTCCGAACTGCGGCGTGGCCTGGCCTGGGAGTTTTGCTGTGCGCTGATGGACTCGGGATGCGGGGACGTGGCTGGTGCCACTGGGAAGGCTCTCGCTGCTGTACGCGGGCGCTGGTCTCCTCAAGTCAGGGCTTCCACGGAGCTGGGGAAGCTGCCTGCTCCGGGGTCTGGCCGGGCAGTTTTCGTTATCGCTTGGGCAGCACAAAGAACGAGCCCCGCAGGCTTGCGTGGCAGAACAGATCTTGCCCGTCTCGTTCTCCACTGGGCAATTTCCGAGTCCTTCCTTCCCTAATGCTCCTCTGATGCGGGCGTTTGAATCTCCCCTGTCGGACCTGCCCCATCTCCACCTCTCCTCCCAGGCTGTCTCCTCCGTGGACACAGCTGAACACCATGCGGTGTCAGCCGGGCCGTGTTTTGGCCTGCCTAGGTTAAAGCCGTTGTGTACCCGAGCCGGCGGGGTCCTGGGGGGGTCAGCAGAGGACAGATCCCACCCCTGCGGCGTTGCGGGCCTCTCGCATTGCCTTTCCTGGGCAGCCAACACGTGGAGTCCAGGGGTGCTGCAGAGGTGAGGTGCCTCAGCTCGCAGCCTGCCTGGGCAGCGCTTGGAGAGAGATGGTTTACGCAGGGAACGGTGGATGAAGCTGGCCATGAGCAGGAAAACCAGCAGATTGATATGGTCTGTTTGGTGGGTGTAGGAGGTGTTCCTGCTCTTTATAGGACTAACATTTAGCTTGGGAGTCTGCAGAGGCTCCCAGCTCCATCAGATGAGCAGGTAGTAGTGGTGGCCCGAGAGTCCTTCGTCCGTCTCTGTACGGGACACAGCACTGTGGCTGGGAGGTGGCAGGATTTTGCAGTTGCTGTTGGCATCTGGCTTTTCCAAATGGGCTCAGTCACACCACGTGGATGGTGCCGCATCTTCTGTCCTCCTGGGAGGAGAACGTGGCAGCTCCCTTATTGCAAGGGTGCAGATATGAGGCGTGCTGGATTGGACGTGCGATGTTCCCAATGCCTTCAGCCACGTTCATCTGAAGGGTTCCTCCTCTGTGGCGGTGGGGGTACCTGTCCCATGTGCAAGAGAAAACGAGGAATGGCGATGTGTTCCCCTGAGTGCCCCAACAGCCCAGCTTGTTTGTGGTCATGCTCTTATTTCCAGAAAAGGTAGGAGATCGGGAAGGTTGAAATGCAATTCTGGGCTGTTGGCATCAGGCAGTGAGGTCGCAGGAATGGAGAGAGCTGTTCCTCATGTTAGTTTTTTGAACATCTGGAGACAGTGAGGGTCACAAGTGCCCAGGCTGATGGAGGTGGCGTTGCCCAGGCTATTCAGTTCGGTAACTGGCTCCTGTCGCTGCTGTGAGGGGGTGACCGAGAAGTGACTCTGGCTGCCCAGGGATCCTTCTGCAGCAGCCCAGGGCTCTGGGTGACTCCTTGGTGCCCACATCAAGTCACTGCTCTGGGTGAGACCCAAGAGAGAGGCTGGCCTTCGGGGACACAGCATGACCAGCATGGGGAGCCTGCTGGCACAGCCACGGGCCAGCGCTGTCCCTTGCAGCTGGGCTGCACAGCAGCGGCAGGCAATGGGGATCGCGAGGTCGGGTGTTCTGCAGAATCCTCCCTGTTAATACAGGGGGGTGCAGTTTGAGCCCCAGAGGCTGGCATCAGTCAGAGGAAGGGTTTGGGTCTCACTGAAGCCTTCCAGAGATCTGTGGGTGGAGAAAGTTGCTGTCTGGACTCTGACCCTCTCTCTTTCTCCCTTCTTCCAGTGGCTCAGAAGGTGGTGGCTCTACGGAAGAAACAGCAGCTTTCCATCGGTCCCTGCAAGTCCCTGCCCAATTCACCCAGCCATTCGTCTGTCTCTGCAGCCTCCATCCCTTCTGTTCACATCAACCAGGTGGGAAATGGGAACAGGGAAAGCCAGGGACCCCTTCTGCTTCCCCACACCCCTTGAGTCCCTCACTACACAGCACATTCAGCCTTGCTTTCGACTCGCAGTGCAGCCAGGGAGTAGCGTTTGGAAAGAGCAGAGTGGTTTTGCCCGGGAGCTTCTGTCCGTAGCCCAGAACAGCTTGATGCTCACCCTGAGGTCAGGCTTCGTGTCTAAACCATCGGGTCTGGCTCATGTTCTCCAAAGATCGTGGTGTGCTTCTACAGGCAGTGGTGGCAGAGCCCTGAGCCCTCTGCAGGGGAGCTCCTGGGCAGAGCAGAAGGGCTCTGGAAGAGGCCCGAGCCGGGCAGGAGAGCCTGGGTGGGCACAGCTGCCCCCGGTCCTGCTCCCCCTGGAAGCGGGAAGCTGATGGTTTGCGTGCACGTGCAGGTGGGCTTCCTGGGGGATGTGTTTGTGGAGGGGCGAATCCAGTGGCAAACTGAAAGAGGAGCATGGAGGAGGAGGAGGAGGAGGAGGAGGAGCAGGAGCAGCAGCTCCTCCCCTCCGCTAGAGGAAGGGCTCTGTGCTGTTCTTCTGGCACAGCGTTAGCCTGGCAGGGACTGCCGAGGTCTCAGTGCTGGGAGGGTGGTGAAGTCGGAGGTTTTTGCTCTGGGACTCAGGAGGAGCAGGACTGGTGCAGGAGGAGCAGGTCAGAAACCAAAGCAGGCTGCCATGGTGAGGGGCTGTGACCGAGATCGTCTGGGCAGCTGCTTAATTGCGCTCGGGCTTCGCTGTGGTTCCCAGCACCCCCCCAGATCTGAGCTGGCTCTCGGATGAGGCAGGTGAGATACCGGGCTCTGCTGCTCCTCAGGGCCAGCAGATCCCAGCTCTGAAGCACGTGGCGCAGGAAATGGCAGGATCTGTAGCCAAGGCTTCAGGAATTCTGTCTGTCTGTCTGGCGCGGTGCTGTTGGGCCCAGGCACAGCAAGCGTAGCAGCTGGGTTTGTGGAAGGGGGGAGGCGACGCAGCCAGAGCAGCCGTGAGCCCCTGGGTGCCTCAGCGGCGCGCAGGGCTGAAATGGGTCTTGAGGAAAAGAGTCACTAAGGGCGCAGAGACGCGCCTCGAACTGAAGGAAGTTCAGTTTAGCAAAATTAATTCTGCCAGGCTGATGCTTTTTTCATAGGGGGTCGGCTTTGAACCTTAGAGTATCTGAGCCTCTCAGCACCACCGCAGGGGGGGTTGTTCCCCGCCAAGCCTGGGTACTGTCTGCAGCCGCTGCTTGGGCCCTGACATAATTTTTAAGCACCGACATGAAGCTTATACCTGACTGTATCAGATTCCAGAGCTGGGCTGTGCATAGGTGCGTACAGATTTTTGCAGAGCCTGTGCCAGCTGCCTGGTGCTCAGGGCCACGCAGACGCCAGCATGTTCAGACGAAGGCTCTGTCTGCAGGCGAAGAGGCTGAACCCTGCCGGCAGCTCGAGCACTCTGATGAAGCCACATGGCTTTCTGGTCAGGGCTTGTGTCTGTCCAGTGAGCCTGGGATGCGATCAGAGGGAGCACCGCTGCTTGCAAACCAGCTACAGCCATGTCATCCCTTGCAGCACGTCTGGAGGTGGGCGCTTTTCGAGAAGTTTTACAGGAGGCATCCGAGGTGGAGAGCGAAGTCCAGGGAGAACGCAGATTTGAGTGTATCCGGTAACTCGAGGACTTTATTGGCAGACAAATTGTAGAGTCAGGAGTGGCTGGGGAGCAGAGGCAGTCTGTGCTGCAAGGGGGAGCAGGGTGGGAGATGGCCAAGGGCAGCGTTCCTCGGGAGGAGCTGAACGCTTGGTTAATGTTTCCTTCAGTGTCCAGATATGAGGAAAGGGTCCTGACAACTGCGCGCTAATAGCGCTTGCTATGCTGGCAGCATGTTTGCAGTGAAGATAACACCACGTCCCCAGTGTGAGGGGTGGGGGGCTACGAGGCTCTGCAGTCTGACTCCAGTCGCTCCTGTAAGTACGCCCTGAAACTGGTGTAGGCACAGCGAAACCTGAGCGGGAGGGAGCGAGACCCTGAGGCGAGAGGAAGCTGAGCACTCGTCTTGTTGAGCTCAGGGAAGTGAAGGCTGAAGTGGTCCAACCCTAAAATACCCAGCTGTGAAAGGAGGGACCTTTGTAAGAGGAGAAGGTGCTAGAATGGATGGGGCAGACTTCAGAGTGGCCACGGGGGAGCAAAGTTTGGACACTGGAAGAGGTTCCTAACAGTGTCTGAGCTGTGTTAGAGGTTCTTGCTCCGAAACCTCCCTCCTGCCGTTCCTTCCTGCAGAGGACCCTTCAGCACAGTCTGCAGCCGCGGCTGTGTGGAGGTGAGCGCTGGCCCCTTGGCATGGAGGCAGGACCTTGACTTCCAGGACCCTGCCGTGCAGCTGGGGCTTTGCCAGAGGGGCCTGGGCAGTCCTGGTGGGAAACAGGAGCTGCTGAAGGGGAGGAGCGCAGCACGCAGCGCGTGGGAAATTGCAGCTAACTGCAAGGCCTGTCTAGGGAAGAAATACGTGTTGATTGCCTGGGTTGTAGCAGTGGCCACAAAAATGGTAGGGCTTGTCCTTCTGGAGCTTCCTCCCCCCGTCCTGCCTCCCCCATACGTTCTCTGCGCCTGTCTGACGCTGTCTCCCTCCTGCACTCAGTAAACCTGGACACCCCAGCAAGGATCAAAGTTAATTTCTGCTCCCTGGGTCTTCCGTGGCTCAGCCACAAACTCCTGGTTCCCAGTGACCTGCTGCGGTAACCCTTGCCGTGCTGTACTCTCTTCATTGCAGAGAGCGCTTCTCCTAAAAATAGGGCATGAAGTAATGCAACTGGTGAGCGGCCGTAGAATGCTGCGGCGTATTTCCCCGTCCTCGCCTGGGCTCGGGAATGAGGAACTGCTTCCCGCTGTCCTCCGAGGAGATGCAGCTGGTATTGAGAAAGAGGGGCTCACCAATTCCTGACGCTTCCACCACGGGCCAGGGCAGCGCAGCCCACACTCTGGCACCCGCGGGCCCGCTGCTGTGTGGGAGGACGCATGCCCGACGGCAGGCACAGCGACCAGGCGGGTCCTGCAGCAGGGACGCCTGAGAGCCCGGGGTGGCCGCTCAGGAGTGTGCGGCGGCAGTGGCGTCACGCCAGAGGCTACGCTTCCCGGTGGGAGCTGTCCCTAATGCGGGAGAGAGCTGTGAAGGCAGCTCGGGGTCCTGCTGGACACTGCTCGCCAGGGCTGGGCTGCAGCAGTGCCAGAGCCTCTCCTGGGGCTGGCGATGGTGGCCTCGCTCCTGGGAGGTGTCCTCTGCTCCTGGCGCTGGGACACCCTGCGGCCAGCACGGGGAGGAGGCGGGCAGGCTGCGCTGTCAGGAAGGGCAAACAAGAGGGTGACGAGGCCTTGGCAGAGTGCTGCCCTGTTCTGTCCTTTCCTACCTGCGGGCATGGGGCTCTCGCCAAGGTTTCTTACTTCCCTTCCTAAGTGAGAGGGCAGGACCTGGCACAGGGAACAGGATCTCAAGGAAGGGTTGGGGACCACAGGATTTAACATGGAGATGAGATGGAAAGAATCCAGACAAAGAATACAGCTAGGAGGTTTTGTTTGCCTTGTGTCGCAGCCAGGTATGGGTATATGCAGGTGAGACGCACGCTAGGACAGGAGGATCTCTATCTGCTCAGTACCGCTTGTGGGAGCAGTGGGACTAGCACTTGCATCTTGAGCCCGGGGCCAGGAGGAGCCTGGGAGCCTGGGCACTGCTCTGTCCTTGCGGGGCCTGGGTTTGGGTGTTGAGGTGTTGCCTGCAGCAGCTGGCAGAGGCTGCTGCTGTGTGGTGGCAGCACCGCTCTGTCCCTTCCCGGCAGCTACCGCATCTCAGGCAGTGTTCCCTTCCTCCTGGCCAGCTGCCTTTCCGAGGGCTGTGGGCAACAGCGTTCCCTTCCCTGGGCTGTTGGCAACAGCACCCCCCACCCACTTCTGCCAGTTGCTCGGTTGAGGTCTGCTTCCCGTCACAGCTTTGTGCCTTGTGCCCAGAGGGATGGTGGGGAGGAGGATGCTCTGCTCGGTGCCTGGCCTCCTGGCTCACGTGGGCAGGGACAGAGCTGTCGGTGAAGAAGGCGCTTGTCTTCTGGAAAAGGGCACAGTGGTCCCCATACCAGGTGGCTTGGGGCAGGCAGGAGCTGGGTTCCAGCCCTGGCTCTCATCCTAGGTCTGGGGATGCCTTTCTGGAAGTAGTTTGGTGCTACAAGTTGAGCCAAACTAACTTCTTTGGAAGTGGCCATGGCTTGTCTCGTCTCCTGACAGTCCATTGCAATGACTGGTGGAGGAGAGACCCCAGAGGCCCCTGGTGACTTTGTTACCCCTCTGTCTGGAGGACGTTCCCCTGGTGCGAGGTGGCGGCTGGTTTCCAAGCCTTTGTGCCTGTGGCACGTTCCCAGTGGGCAGGGCTCTGCGGCAGCAGTGCCGTGTGAGGGGCTCTTGCATGGTGCCTGGCCTTCTTTATGAAACTGCTCCTGAACCAGCCAAAGGCCCTGGTTCCGTTTCTGTCTTTGGGAGTTTGGGGATTTTCTGCTTTTATTCCTCAGCCGTGCCTGGTGCCTCAGAGGACACTGTCCCCATCCAGGCGGAGGGGAAGGAGCCGTGGGAGCAACTCAGCTGCAGTCAGGGTTTCCCACCAGCACTCACAGGCGCACCAGGCGTGCTCACCAGGTCCGTGACCCTGAGTACCCTGTTGGCATCTGCCCGCTCCTCTGGCATGGCCGGAGCCAGCCCCGGGAGTTCCGCGTGCTCCCCTGGGGACACCAGGTCTGTCCCCTGGGCATTCCCGGCGGCTTGTGGAAGCAGACACTTGGGATCCCCAAGGAAAGCTCTTGCTTGCCTACTGGCCCAGGCTCTGCTCTCCTGTGTCCTGCCCGCACCCGTCGCTGGGTGAGCAGGCTGGATGGGTTTGGGAGCCCTGCTCCTCGGGGCCTTGACTTCCATCCTGCTCCCAACTGGCAGCTGCCTGTCCCTTGCCTGCAGGGCATGGGTGG